TACAACTTTACTCATACTTAAACATCGAACTGTGATGCTGTGTCCTGAGCCTTGGCACGGGCCATCGATATTGTCATTGGTCCTTTTCTTGCAAACTACTCCCTCTGTCCCAAAATAATAGTCCCTTTTGGAGAATCTAACTTTTTTTGGTAGTACAATAATTGCAGTTTAAAAATATTAATTTTTCAAAATTACCCTTTGATAGTACTTTTTTTGGGAATATCAATTATCATAACCGTACTTTTTGTGTTGTTAATGAATTTTAAAAAAATGACAAAATAGGAAATTTACATTATTTGTCCTTGATTTTTGAAAAGGAACTAATATTTTGGGACAATGAAAAATGGAATAAGGGATTAATATTTTAAAATGGAAGGAGTATAAAGGATCTGAGAGTGTACCCTTTTTACTCATTGTTTGTTTTGTTGATCCATCTATTGGTGCTGACATAGATGGCGATTGGAATAAATTTGGACATTGCCCTCCGATTGTGGGCAAGAACATCTCTCATCGATAACTTTACCTAACCTTTAAAGAGGTTCAAATTTGACTTTCCAACAAAGCCTAGTTCCCCAAATCCCCTTAATGTGAAGATAGGAAATCAATTTACTTTGGTGTTCATCCCTTCCAAGAACCTTTTCAATAGCTTCAATAACATTTGCAGCCACAAATTTTTGCTCTAGCTCCCTTGGCTTTATTCTTCCTTTGCCTTTTGTCTTGTTGAGCTTGGAACATTTGGCGATGCATCAAGCATCAAGTCAAGCCCCTACTGGCATGGAAGGAAGAATTTGCATTAGTGCGTATTGCAAATTCATATTCCTCGTGTATTTTTGATAACAGGGAGGGTTCTAAAACGTCCCAAAACTACAGGAGCTCGACGTTGTTGCATTAAACTCCGTTGAGCCAACGAATGTTCTTCCTTTTTAGGAGTCATTGTTGACTCCTCAAAAATGATCAAATGGGTAAGGAAATTCCAAAAAGCCAAATTTTGTGCTTTTACCATAACCTTTGGTTCAAAGGCTAGCGTTAGCTTAGCATGGTTCGGGGTTTGGGTCATCACCTTTCTTCCGATGGCTTTAATTATGGCCCAATATTCAGCAGAAGCATTCATTTGAGCAGACTCCGCAATCTTAATGAAATTTTAAGCCATTCTGAGTAGCTAGGCCACAACATTTTGTGCTATACCCATAGAAGTTACTACAAGGGCCATAGTTGCAGTCTGGTCTGCCTCCTTTGCTTGAACCAAGAAATTCTAGGTTCGAGCTAAGCATTCACATAGTCCTCAGAGGACTCGAGACTTTTAGCCTTTTGAAAAAGAGTACTCTTCATAGCACAAGCTACCCTTGGGGACAGCCGAGAGCATTCGCTCTAGAGACCCTTGGGTAATAGGCATAGGAAAAAGAAGCGATCTTTCCATGATCTTGCTTTCTCTATCCCGAGTGTTGACCTCTTTGACAATCACTTCAACATTCCTATATCAAGAAAACACGTCAATGACTTAAAGTGAAATAAACAAATAAAATCCGTGCTTCAAAAGATAGGAGTGGACAAACAAGTCCCACTAGGCATCCCAAAAATTTCTAGACTCAAATTTCGAAATGTGAAATGTTTTAACACATTTCAAAACTCATGTTACAAACATCCATTGTTTAGTTTTTAGACTAAACAGTGTTGTGACTATTTCATAGCAGGTTCCGATTTTCGAACTGGATTCCAGATCATTAATTATGCACTTTAAACAAGTGAACCCTCCAATTAATGAAGAACAAAAAAAAATTAACAAAGGAGAATTTAAGCAAAAAAATTGTTTTATTAAAGTTTTGGCAATTTAAAAACCCTTAATACACAAAGCACAATCAATGAATTTGGAACCCTTTACACATAACTTGTCATCGTACTGTGTGTTGGGGTGTTGAGTGTTGAACGTTTGTTGCTCCTCACAATTCCCTAGCCTATAACTCTCTCTCAACTCACACCTTTCGAATTTTTAACACATTTCAAAATTCATGTCACAAACATCCATTGTATAGTTTTTAGATTAAACAACAAAACAGTGTTGATTATTTGATAGCAGGTTCCTATTTCGATCTAGATTCAAGATCGTTAATTACACACTTTAAACAAGTAAAACCTCCAATTAATGAAGAGAAAAATTAACATAGGAGAATTTAAGCAGAAGAATTGTTTTATTAAAGTTTTGGGATTCAAAAACCCTTAAATACATAAAGTACAATTACTAGGTTTAAAACCCTTTACCTACAACATGCAATCGTAGTGTATGTTAAGGTGTCGAGTGAATGTATGTGCTCCTCACAATTCCGTAGCCTCTTAACTCTCTCAACTCTCAATTTTTGAACTCTCTCAGTCTCTCTTTTCTTTTTAATCGTCTTTATGTTTCTTGCTTTCTGATCACCTTTCTGCTTCTCGCTTTCTGAACCCTTCTCCTGTGTGATGTTCCTTTATTGACGGTCATCTACACAATGAGTCTTATCTTCAATTTAAATTTCAAACTTTATGATAACATCGTTTGAGTTTAAGTTTAATGTTATCGTATAAAATTTGATTAACCATACATCTAATTAACCATATTGATCTTCTAAATTTCATTCCCTATAGCTTCCTTCTTGTAGGCTCGTTCAACTTCTATTGGAGGGGCAAAGGATCTAAACACGGATTGGCAACAAGGAATCCACTGAAAGACCAAAGCATTGGTTGCTTCCACTTGTGGTCTTCTTTTACACACCAACCAAACCCCTTCCCCTTTCTCCGATCATAAAGGTCAGTGCAATAGGTGTGGAATGCTCTACTCTACACAGGTTAGGGTTTACAGAGCTAGGGCTGATTGTACATGTCATCCTTTGATTGTATCCATTGTCTTGTAGACTCACGTCACTTAAGTTGTATTGGCTTAAAGTTCCCGCATAACATCATTTAAATGTGATATTATTGTATCTCAACTGATCATACTAATCAATTTAGGGTTGGTTTCCTACAGCCATTTCACTATACGCTCTTTATGTGCCATCGTCTGATTGAATGTATTGTCTTCTAAACTATATAGACTCCACGTGTCACTGGTATAGGTTCAAAAACTTTGAATCTTAGGGCCTCATCCCATTGAACCTAGAACCTTAACACAAATTCGGTTGAAATTTATGTACCCAACAGACCCCCTATTTCTTTGGTCCTATACACACCAAAATTGAACCCTACCTTTTCTTCTTTGAGCACCCACCATAATCCCCACTCTACCCTCCCTTTCTTTAGACCCCCCACCTCTGCAATCCTCTTCCTCTGGTAGGCTCCCACCACATCACCGACCACCGTCCACCAGCTTATAGGGTGAAGATGAGCATGTTGCGGTGATTGCGAAGGGGTCGCAAGGGTAAGTGAGTGATAAGGAGGGGCTAAGTAAGGAGGAGTTGGGTCTGTGCAAAAGGGAAGGGACTAGAGAGGCTGGAGAAGGGTGAGATGGCTGGGGAGGGGTTGGGTGGTGGCAGCGAGAGCTGGAAATGGGCAAGAGAGGGCAGCCTTAGCTGCTAGTGGTGGCTAGAGTTGGTGGTTGGGGTAGGGTTAAGGTTAGTGTTTGGGGAGGTTAGGGATGAGCTCAAAAATGAAATTTTATTATAGGGTAAAATTGTTAATTTTTTTTTGGATGGGGGTCTAAAGGATTAGTGTAGGGGCATTTAGCAGCGCCCAACTAAAATATTTCATGTTGAATCAAAATAACTAGGCTATAGGCCTTCAAATATTGCCATAATTTGGATTAGCTAGAGAATATTAGGAATGTTGCTACAATTCGAGCAATCTCCATCTCTCTCCCTCTAACCCACTCCACTCCAACTATGCTTCGTTTTCTTTGTCTCTCTATCTCTCTTACAAGGAAGACCATTTGGCTGCTTCCTTTCCCTTTTCTCCATTTTATCAAATAGACTATGATCTATTTATTTGTTTTATTCTCTTCTTTTGTGTCTCCTAGAGGCTCATTTTTTTTCCCTCTATATGTTGTGTCTCTTTTTTATTGCAATTATACAATAAAATATAGAGCTATTGTTCAACCATTTTTTATATGTATTTTGTTTTCTGTTATTTTAGTGCATCCTTTTTGCATTACATGGCTCATCTTAAGAAGCAGACACTGAGTAGACATATCATGTCGAACACCTATGTCAAACATGACACTCCTAAAAGCGTGCAAAGTGTCTTAATTAAAAATTGAAATTTATAATATTAGACACTTTTACGACACTTCTACCTTTCAAACATAAGTTATGAGATGAATCTCTTCATAGTCACTATTTTGTATTCTTTGGGATGCAACTTCTGCATTCTAAATATGTTTTGAAACATTTAATGGATAAATAAATCGCATGTAATTCAATGTTCGACAATTGTTTTGCATTCTTTAAAATGAAATTGTTAAGTGAATGATATCTTAACGTTTTAAGTTATGAAATATGCACCTTTCTAATTTTAATCAGTGTCATGTTGCTTCTTTTTTTTTTTTCCCCCTTCTTTTTCTTTTTCTTTACTTTTTTTAACCTTCAATAAACTATTCACATATTTGATACATAATTGACATATAATAAATTTATAAAAATCTAAATTTTTAACGTGTCCCAAGCATATCATGCCCTACATTTTTTTTTTGAATTGTCGTGTCAGCATGTCCGTGTTTGTGCTTACTTAGAAGGTATCCAAAATACATAAGTCCTCTATTTACTACCGCTGCAGAATCCAACTACTAAGAATATCATGCAAACCTTTATGTATAAGATTAGTAATAAATCAGCTCAATGTACGGTTGCAAGAGAATGGGAAAATTCAACCAAGTGAAGTTAACAGATTGAAACATCTCATTAGAGGTCTCATGACAAAGAGTCCCAATCAAAGATAATGTATGAAGCATCTCCATCCGTGAGAAACAAAGAAGTAAGGAACTTATCCAAATGGGAAGGAAGGAAGGAGGTGAAGACAATATGGGAACCAGAACAATTTACCTGCAAGGTTTTCAGCAGCAAATCTTAGGCACACTGCTTTCAATTCAGTGGCATGAAAACGGTCGGCCAAAGCTAGCACTTTTGCTACAGAATTTACGGATATATACTTGCACAGATGCGATTCACACAAGCGTCTTAGTCTTCCCAAATCATACTTATCAGCAGCAGCTAACAATTTTGCTGTTAATGTTTCAGATATAGAGGATGTCGATGATGAACTAGAAGCTACCAACTCATCTTCAACAAGAGCATCTCTGTATATAAAGTGCAGCATTGCCTGTCACAGAATAAAATTTTATGACAACTGCTAAAAAATAGCAGAACATCTTATTGGAAAAACGAAACAAAAGTGATAGCAGTACTAAGGGGCTGTTTGTTGCAGCTTCTATAAGCTGATTATAGCTTATTTTAATTTGAGAGTCTGTACCAAGCTGTTTGGTCCAGCTTCTGCTTACAACTTGTAAGGCAGAAATAGCTTAAATAAGTTGAAAAAAACTAATTATTTAGAAGCTGGGGAAAGGGTGCTTTTAGCTTCTGTTTTTTGATTATCAGCTTTTAGCTTAAAAAAAGCTATACCAAACAGGGCCTAAAGTGCACAATACAACTAGAAAACCAAGAAGATGATCCACTGCTTTAATGGAACAAAAAGAAAAATGACAATGAGCAAAGCTCTCACCTTAAAAACCTCGGGTTCCATATCTGTAATTGCAACCTCCTGTGTATCACCTTCTGACCCATCAATCAATTCAGACCGAAACACTGGGGATCGAGCAGCCAATACCAACTTATGAGCATTAAACTTTTCTCCCGCCACATTGAAAATAACATCTGAACCATCGATATTTTCCAGCAGTGTACCGAAATGTGCTCCAATATCAGAATCTGGGACCTGAATTGAGTGCAACCTTGGACAGTCTATTGCAGAAACCACAACTCCAACAGTACAATTGATTTTCAAGCAATCATCTTTAAGATAATCTGAAGTTTCAAGCAACGCTCTTCGGAAAAAACGTTTATATCCCCTGTATAATAGCAAGATCAGAACAAACGAGTGTCTTCAAGATACAAATAAGATTGAAGATGAAGGGGAGAAAATGGTAAACTGGATGAAACTTTTTTGCTTGTTTATTCTACTTGTAGTATAAATAATCAATTGTTCCACACATAAAATTAGCCAATTCGAACAGAACAGGTTGGGAGACCCGCGGGTGAGGCAAACGAATTGAAGCAATATAATTATATAATATAACTATATAAATAACAATAAAAAGTACAGGAAAGGTAAGTAGACCAGAGATGGTGAGAACAACCATAAATTCTTTTTTTCTTCCTCATTAGTCTGGATACATTCGTTTATCTAGGCCCCAATGTTGACAATGTTGCTCAATCTTCTGTAGATACTACAATCCAACTCCCTGGGAATATATCTAAATAACTACATCACCCACCTTGAAGCATTTCTAGAAGTTCATTCTCACACTCTAATATACATATTCTCGCAAGTGTTACCAGAAAATGTTAATACCTTAGCGAATTACGCTTTAGAAAGTATGTTCCACAATATGGCACACTTTTGTTCCAAAACGTAAAATTTGGCAATCCAAAGTGATCCTAAAAGTAGTTCCAATATATCTCCTTTAGGTTCCTTGGGAGGATAAAAAATAGAGCATAATGACCTAAAATTTAAGGTGAGTGCAATTTTAACATGACAACATCAAAACACAGTGATAATATAATGTTCATAAAAATGTGTTGCCATATGATTAATTTTGGAAAAAAATAAATAAATAACACTAATAAAATAATAATATTATCAGATGTCTAATTGTTAAAAAATTCTCCATATTAAAAATATCTTAAATTGTTACATTGTAAACTACACAAGCCTACCTCTATCATACCCCAATTTAAAGCATGTAACGTACCACATTCCCGTTCCATGTACCGGAATGATCCACATTCTAGGTAACATAGTCGCACTCTAATATGAATATCAAGAGGATGGGCATACCAATGCTTACGGATGCTTTGGAGTATGTGTCAGAAAGCAATGATCAATATATTGACTCGGATTCAGTTGTTGAAGAATCAGATTTTTTTACCAGCATTGAAGAGCCAGATTATGAATTTGGTATTCTTTTCAAGGATGATGGGGACAATAACCACGAGGTGACAGTAAACAGAACATTGACAGATAACATCCACAAAAACTGAATTGCAATTAAGTCCTTGATTTTGAACTATGTCACAAGGAATCTGATTTAAATGAGCCTAAACTTTTTAATCAAGGTTGTCAAATTCAAGATCCTACATTGGATAGTTGGAGGGATCCTACATCGGATAGTTGGAAGGAAACAATGTATAATAATTTTTATATGAATAAACATTTACTAAAAGTAGACACAAAATAAACATAAATTACACTTAAAAGAAGTGCAAATATGTGAAAATTATAATACACCATGTAAATATGAACATTACTCCCTCCGTTTCATAATATTAGTCTTTTTTGGAAGGACATCTTATTAATGTATTCAAATTAAAAATACAAGACATAAGTTTCTCAAATTGTCCCTATATTCCCACCCTTAAATATATTCATAATCATTTATGAGGAATAGTTTTGGAAATTTGTAAAATTTTATGCTTTTGACTTTTGAAAGAGGACTAACATCTTGAAACATTCCAAATTAAAAAGGACTAACAGTGTGGGATGGAAGGAGTAAAATAACAGAAAGTTTAATAATAGAAGTTTTGCATTTCATGAAACTAAGAGAAAATGGTAGAGAAGAAGAATTTTATAACAGAGCATTTTATACTTTCATTTAGCAGTACATAAAAGAAAAAGAAAATAGTAAATAGATTAAAATTCAACAAAGGGAAGCAATAAAAGAAACAGATTGGCTTATGTATCTACAAAAATCTATAGTAGATGCATTCTACATTGGTACTAAATAGAACAGAGAAATTACAAGAGCAAGAGAAAAAGAGTGAGATTTTTGGACACTAAAAAGAAGAGAATCCGACAAATGTATAGAAACAAAAAGTGACAATCTACTATGCAACAATGAAGAGAGAGATGATGAAGCATAGTTGGAGAGGGGAGTGTATTAGCCTATTAGGGGGAGAACGAGATGCTTGAATTGTAGTGATGTTCTTCAACTCTCTAATTTTCCCGAATAACGACAATATTTGAATTTCGACTGCTCTAGTTTAATTTTCTTGGCCTGTTTGATTCAAAAAGGCCAACTTTTGTTTAATTGGAAACAGGTGCAATTGGTATTTAGGCCACAAACCTAAAAAGTAACAAAAAAGAAGCCACATACAAAGCAAGCAAGTTTTAAATGTTGGACAAGTAGGATCCAACCCTGGATCAAGATTCCACAATCTTACAATATCCAAGTATCAAGATCGAAAGATCCTACCAGCCCAAGATTTTCTACCGGATCCATATCAATTTTGTCCAAATGGATCATAAGAATATCATCATAGGATCGTAAGATCCAAATCAAGATTTTAACAACCATGTTTTTAATAATTATACTTCAAAGGGGCATAATTTCTATAATATTTTTGTGTTATGAAGCACGGTGACCCAACACAACACAGACACATCTATACATCAATTTTCCAAAAAAGCATAACACAATATGTGGGAAACATGCTCAAGATATATAGCATAATAGGACATGTTTTGACGTGTGTCCAACACATGTTTGGAAGTATTTGACGAGTGTGGAAGAATGTCTGATATGCACACGCCCCCTTAGAAATGTCCATGCTTCTAATTTCGGGGCAGTTGAGGGGCAAGGTTGTTAAAATTGGGATCCTAAGTAAGATAGTTGGAAAGGTCAGATTATAGAATTGAATCGAGGATCGTAAAAATAAAACAAGAAATTATCCATAATGAAAATGTATATTAAAGAATTTTAAAATCTTTAAAGAAAAATAATAAATTTGATATAATGCATCTTTATGTTAACATAAATTGGAGGAGATATTTGGAGAAAGAGTTTATAGTCAAATTTCTTATATAAATATACACATATACATACCTATATAAGGAATAAATAATAATAATAATAATAAAAAAAAAAAAATTAGTAGGATTTGGATCGTACACGATTTTATGATTAGGATCGTAGTCACTTTAAAATTCTACTGAATTTAAGATCCTAGTGTGATCCGAATCGTTTAGCCCAACTCTCCTACAATCCGGATCGGGATTCTAATAACCATAGTTGAAAGTATTGGTGGTTCAAGGGTGAGTGCTTGTGAATCTATTCTAAACTATGAAGGTGCTTTTGCTTTAGAAATATTCATGCTTCATTGTTTTCTTTGCCATTTTGAAAAATTCGTTCACCATTTAAAAGGATAAGGGGATGAAAAGTTCTACGAAAAATTGCTAAATAGGGTCAAGTTAATGCTTTTTTTTTTGTCAATTTGACTCGACCTTTGAACACATTTTGCCACTCCGTCTCTTGTCTAAACTCAAGCATGTGCTTAATGATTGATCTGTTTTGAATTTGCTTTCCTCATTTTTTAAGTTATCCATTCGAATAAAAAAAAAAAAGGGTTGCACAAGAAAAATTAAAGGCAACACTAAGGTGCAAGGGAAATGTGAAGACAATAGTTCCACATAAAAGTCCTTATACAGAATGTCAGAAGGATCGGTAACGAAACCATCTTGACTATTGACGTCCTTAGGAAGAGGCATAAGATATTATTGATTGGTGTTGTATGTAAAAGAGTGGGAAAGAGTATCAACCACCTTTTGCATTTCCCAACAGCCAATGATCTATGGAGGTTGTTATGTTCAATGAATTTACAATGTCATCATCCCCAATTGCACCAATTATGTCAAAAGTAACACTCATTTATGCACGTTAACATGACAATTCACAAGATAAGCAAAACTTATGTTGCTTGAAATATGAATCGTTCCGATATGAGGAAAGAGCATGGACATGTGGTTCATCACATCTTCTAAACTATGGCTTGGGTAGGATAAGTTTGTATACATTTCTCAGAGCATTATGGTTCTTTCTATTTACATTTTTCTACCCAAAACTCTGTTCTCTTTAGATTTTAATTAACTAAAGTCAATACTTTATCCTCTTAATGAAATAAATAATAAAGAAAAAAATGAATTGCTTTTGGATTGCTAGATTAATCATTACGAAGGGGCATCACCATGTATTAGTCAGGGTGTTCAATTAAACACCCTAACCTTTTTAAAAAATTCATTACTTGTATATGATATAGAATGAGCAGTAGTTTAACACGAACTCGTGAACACCTTGACAATATTTTACAATTTGTAGACATAAGGGGGGAAAATGGACAAAAATATTATGATGACCGCATATTTTTACTATATCATCCAATCCAACATATCCACAATCATTGGTCCCGTTTGGGAACTTGGCTGTTTTAGTTGCCTATTTGGCTTTTTGACTATTTTAGCCTAACTAAAAAAGTCAGTGTTTGAGATGATAGTTGGTTTTTTTGTAGTTGATTTCACGGCTATGAGAAAAAAAGTGAAATGATTATGGGTTAGATGTAATCTTTTAGGATTGTTTGGCAACCTGCTACTTTAGCATACTTATTTTTTTTTTATCTTATTTAGATCACATCACCTCTCTACTTTTCTGCGCATCTTTTCGTAAAAAACAAAAAGTTACTAAAATAGCATATTCCCGAACAACCCTTTCGTCTTATTGGTTATTTTAGCATATTTTGTTTTTATTGGCTATTTTAACCAAAAACCATCTTTCCAAACAAGGCCATTAACACAATAAATTCCCTATGCTACATAAACTAGGGTATGGTTGCTGGGTGTGGATGCATTTCTAAGGTTCAGACAAATCAAACCCCAAAAATCAATGATACAAGGACTTCAAAAAATGGTCTAAAAATTAGATATGGATACGAGGATACGTCGTTTAATTGGAAAATATATATAATTTTATATATGTAAAAATAAAATTCATTCACGCTAATATTATATTATATACAATGATTTATTATAATTTTAATATATTGGCAATGTAAAATATGGAATTCAATGATTTTTAGGGATTGTTTGGGATGACTTAAATAAGTGCACTTTTTGTCTTTTTACGAAAAGATGTGCAGAAAAGTAGAGAGGTGATGTGATGGAAAAAATATAAAAAGATAAAAAGATGGATTATTTTGTGTATGCCAAACTTGGCCTTACTATAATTTTAATATTTCGGTAATAATTTTACTCCATTTCTTTCCCTCAAAAAAGGAAGAAAAAAAGAAGAAGAAAGAAAAACTAAGAAATATTTATTTCAAAATATAAGGATCGGATCCTTTCCCATATCCGTACCCATGTGGGGTCATGTTGACATGAGCACTACAGCAAAACTAAAAAGGCCATGTAACATAGCAGGCTCATTCCACATGAACCACATTAATATTCAACTTATTGTAGGTGTGTTAATTTGTCAAATCGGACCATAAACAAAATATAATTACAAAAAATTAAGTATAGCATTACTGATACTGAAAACATCTGACAACTAGACATATCTGATATTCTGTGTGTGTGTGTGCACACACACACACACACGAACTTCTTATGGACTCCTTGAGAATGATTCTGATCTAGTTGATGGCCTAGTAGAAGTACAAAGTGCTATGGTGGGATCCTCACGGACAGAAAAACACCCTTCTTAAATTCAATGTATATTCTATCAAAATTGTTTCTTTATATATATTTGTTAATGGATCATTTATTGGATTATTTTCTGCATTGTAAGTGTCTTATGAAGTGATTATTTGCATTCAGTTTCACAGGTCATGCGTGTGCACACACACACACGAACTTCTTATGGACTCCTTGAGAATGATTCTGATCTAGTTGATGGCCTAGTAGAAGTACAAAGTGCTATGGCGGGATCCTCACGGACAGAAAAACACCCTTCTTAAATTCAATGTATATTCTATCAAAATTGTTTCTTTATATACATATTTGTTAATGGATCATTTATTGGATTATTTTCTGCATTGTAAGTGTCTTATGAAGTGATTATTTGCATTCAGTTTCACGGGTCATGCTAACAAGAAGCTCAATAGGCTATTAATAAAGCAAAATGCTAAAAAGTTAAAATCATAGGACCTTTTTTACACTATCCAAAACATTTTCACATATCTATATTCACACATTTCAATGCACTTTTCGTAAGTCCGTCATTATGGCCATCTCCAATCCTTGACTCAAACCTATATCAAATTTAAATTTTAGTAAAAATCATGCAAAGCACCCTTCACTCCCTGATCCAAACTTATACCAAATTGAGTTTTACTCGAATTTTTACCCAAATCAAGGGAGGCTCGAATGTTTACTCAAAATTTTCAATATTTTGTGGCTCTCAAATCCACTCTGCCATTAGTGAACATTTTACTCAAATTTATGCTTAAATTTGAGTTTAACCATCGGAGTGGTTCATATTAGTTCCAAAATGTAAATTAATCTTTTCTGATAACACTGAGCAAAAACCATATGGAATTAACTAGTATACACAATAAATAAAATAAAAATAAACCCTGAATTAAGCAAAACCCATGTTGAATTTAGCTTTGGATACACCATGTCTTCATGGAAAAACATACCACATGCTGCCTCGATACTTCAATGTATACGGTCCACTCTCCAACGAGCGATCGAAATGGCTATGAACCTTGTGCTTCCCTTTCCCACTCTGATCAAGCAAAGTCAATTCAAACAAAGCCCTAACATCCGTGCCCTCGCTCGCCAGCGCAATGAAAACCGACACGTAAGTCGAATTGTCCTCCGGATTCTTCCCATCTGGGTAGAAATATATCGCCCATTGGTACCCTCCAACTGTGAAATTATCGCTCGCGATGTGTTTCCCAATTCCCATACCTTTCGCCAACGAATAGCCCTGAATTACGAACCTGTGCGACCCATTCACGGTCTCGGTCACCGATCGAGAGCTTGTCGGCGAGACCAAGGGGTTGTTCTCTAGCGTGAAGGACTCAGACATTGAATCAGAGCTCTGGAAAAATGGAGCTCATGGAAGGTCGTGGTAATCTGTGTGAAATTGAGGGGTTTGAGTAGGAATTTTAAGAGAGAGAGAGGGATTTTGGTTTGGGTATTCAATTGTTGAAGATTTGGGGGTTTGGGATTCTGAGAGAATCTTGTTGTGAGGACGGAGGAGAGAGATGGACTAGGGCTTTTTTTTTTCTCCTTCTCTCTCTTTCTCGAGGAAGTGTTATCTGTATTCGTTGGAGTTTTCGCATGGGCAGATCCAGTTGGTTTCTCAAATGGAGCGTTCTGTTGGGCTTTCGTCTCCACGTCATAATTCGAACCTTTTACGGTGGGTTGTGTCATGAGATTTGAGAAGAGATTTAAAAAATAAAAAATTAAAAAAAAAAAAGAAAATTTATTCATAAATTTTATTTTTTTTAAAATTAAAACATTTAGTCCTAAATGCACCTTATTTTATTTTGATAATGTTGTTTATTTAATTTTTATTATTTTGTAGGTTCCAGTAGTACTCCTTTTGTGAAATGTTTGTTTCATCAAAAATCAACAACATCATCAATAACATCAAACATTAACAAACATCAACTACATCTTCACCAATAAATTCGAACATCATCATCAACATTGTAAACATCATCACCAAACTCTCTCTCTCTCTCTCTCCCCCTCATTTTCCTCTTCATCGTCTTAGGAGTCCCTCTCCTCTGTCCACCGCCTCTCCTCTAGCGACGCCACTCCTCTGTCCACTGCCTCCTCCTCACCTACTTCAAGATCCACCACCAGAACCATTGCCTCTCTCTCTCTCTCAGATCGTGAAACCCTAGGCGGCGATCCATCCATCGCACTATTAGCTCCTACTCCGTAACCGCCGCAGACGACAGCGACTGCGCCGCCTCTGTTGTTGGAAACCTCAAACCTGTCTTCGTTAGAAAATATTGTCGGCTTTACCTCATCAGCGTAGCTCGATCAACGTCCAATGCGATCGCGGTGGAAGAGGAAACGACTGATTTTCACTTCTACTGCCTCTCTCCACCCGTGGCTATCATCTAAGGGTCCATGACCTACCAGATCTGGATCTAAACCCTAGATTCAATGACAGAGAAGATGATCAAAGTGGGGTTTTGTTGATAGTGGAGATGCGATCTGAAAAAAGGGAGTTTGAAGAACATTACTGTGTTATACGATTAAGCCCTAAAATTCAAATTTTTGGTTGATGTTGTTGGATCGGAATGTTTGATGTTCACATGTTGATGATTAATGTTGGTGATGTTCGATGTTTGATGATGTTTTTTTAAAGTTTGATGTTGTTGATGTTTTTTGATGATGTTTTGTTGATGTTTGATGTTTGATGATATTTTTATAATGTTGTTGATTTTTGATGATTTTTTTTAGTGATGTTGGTGATGTAGTTGACGATTGTAGACACTCCATTTTTGACCGCCCTTAAGACTTGGGCACTACTGATGGTTTGCTCGGTGTTGAGAGATGTACAGGGCAAAGAATCAGTTTCTTCGGCTAGAAGAGAGGCAAATCTTTCAAAACACTTTGTTTAGGGTTTTGGAGTTGAAGAAAAGAGGAAAGGAGAGGAGAAAACTAGTTTGGGAGAAGTTCGGCATGAATCCGGGTAGAAGCGAGTCGAGCAGCCCTCGCTGAATCGGGCTTATCTGTCTGTACACTTGGAGTTTAGCTATGGGGCCACCACCATCGGAAAGCTTACTTCCGGGACTTCATTTTGCACTCAAGAATCTCCTAGAGTCAAGTCCGGGTGGGGGAGATATGATCAGTTGAAGTCGGGCATCATCCCGGTTGGATCTAATCTGCGCGGCTTCACGAAAAAGGGCATAACTTTTTTGCACAGGAGGAATTTTGATGCAAGGTTTGCGCCATTGGAAAGCTAACTTCCGGGGCTTCAATTTGTTTAACCACCGGCCGTTTTTTGACATTGGAATCATCTATCGGCAATCTATTTTGCCGACCGGCAAAATATTATGCCGACCGGCACTTTATTTTGGCCGACGACCAAATTTTCTGGCCGGTTTGCACCATTTGCACTCTCTAAGCCTGGTGCATCCCAGCTGTGCCAGTTGGAATGCACCAGCACACTCCCCCGTGCATATATGTTGCTATTTTGAACCCTTGACCACCTTTGGACCCCTCTTTTGCACCCTTTGCTCAAGGCTTCTTAAGGAAGCCTTGACCCCTTATCTTGGCTTCCTCAAGAAGCCTACCAGCTGTCCAAGCTTCTCCAATAAGCCTTGACCTCCCCTTTAAACCCCTTTGACCCTTTGAAGCTTGTCTTAGAAGCTTAGCCTTGCCTATATAAGGGGCCTCTCCTCCTCCATTGTTGAGGTTGGATGGTTTTGAAGCAAAAAACCAGAGATATACCATGTATATCTAATATACATACATACAACCCTCGATCTCTCTCCATATCTCTCTCATTCAATCATCAAATACCCTTGTTCTTGGGCCATTTCTTCACCAATCCATAGCACCACACCCCTACACTTCATTCCAGCACATTGGAGGTCATTTCCAGAGGCTAGGAGCACCCAAACTTCAACCAAAAGCTGTTGGTTCATTGGTCTACAAAGGTGAGTCCTCTTCTTCCCTTTTCTAGCTTATTCTTGCATCGTATCTAAGCCATAGTTTCTTGTATATTTGAGCTCCGGCCAAAACTGAAAGTGGCCTTCTTTTGAGCTCTTATTCACTTTTGCTTAAGGGCTCAACCCTGTTTGAGCCCTCCATATTGCACTTGCTTCAATATCCTCCTTGAATGCCATAATCTTGCATAGAATTTTTGGCTTGCGTGTGATCTGTTTTGGAGCATGATGTAAACTGTAAATAGGCTTATTTTGAGTCCCTCTTCAACATTGAAGAAGGGCTCAACACTGTTTGGGACCTCCATGCTATACTTGCCTTTATACTCTCTTTTGGTCCCCATTTTTGCATGCTTTGGCAGCCCATTGTGCTTCCGTTTTTGATCTTTTTACAGGCCTAGAAAAGGTCTTATTTTGACCTTCTTAACATGTTTTATTAAGGGTCTTTGGCTGTTTGTTGAATATTTTGCACACTTTGTGTTATAGCCTCTTTTTTAGCCTCATTTTGCATTGCATTTCTAGCATGTTTGTATACTGTTTTTGGGTTTTTACAGTTCTGTAAAGTGGCTTATTTTGGGCCCCTCTTCAATGTTGTTGAAGGGCCCTAACCTGTTTGGAGTTAGCAGCTGTGAGTTGCTTCATAACCTCATGTTTGGGGCCATTTTTGCATGCCATTGTTGCCCTATCTTTGCTTGTTGTTTGGCCATGACTTGTACTAGAAAAATGCTTATTTTGAGGCTGCCTTGCTTCTGTATTTTCATTCCATGTACCAATTATGCATGCTTTGTATAGCTGTAAGCCATTTCACGTACTTAATCTTGCATTTCGGGAGAAATTCCATGCATCGGGTGTGTTTTCGCCTCATTTCGGGGCTGTTTTCCCCCACATTTCAGTGCTGAAATCCCATTAGCATGTTTGCATATCACTTTCCATGCCATTGCATTGCATATGCCATTGCCTCGGTTTGCGTGCCCGTGTGCACGCATTTCGAGGCACTTCATTTTCATCTTATGGCCTCCTATGTGAGTGGGGCTGAGGTCCACTTGTATTGGTGTAAGCCCATCTTGCATTGTGTATGCCATGTTTAAAAGCGTTGTGCATGTTATGTCGTTAGCATTGTGCATGCCATTTAGTTGCATAGCATGCTTGTATTCTTGTTTGCATACCTAGGTTGCATTGCATTGGCATGCATGCCTTGCCTCTTGATCATGTGATAGAGGTTGGGCTTTATGTGTTTGTTTGGTTTGCATGACATTTGAAATCAAAGCGCATAGTTGGTTTCTTGGACCATCACGCATCGAAATACGCAATTGGTGGTCCGAGAATCAAGGAACATACCCCTTTGAGTCAAAAGCATGATAAGGGATGTGTTGGTGCACACATTTGCTTGAAATTTCATGCCATACACTGCCTGTCCTTTGTTGCTGTCAAAACTGTCTTCTGCAGGAAGTTTCTGCCGACCGGCAACATTCAGTGCCGACCGGCCATTCATTCAGTGCCGATAGCTTTATCTCCAGCCGATGGATATTTTACACGGCCGGTGGCCATCCCTCCCAGCCGATGATGTTCTGCAATGCTCATAGAGGGTTCTCTGGGACTTTGACAAATTTTTAGAGAAGAAAAGGCAGTGAAAACAGAGGCAGTAGTGCTATGGCAACGACTTTCCGGGCGAGACGGATCCGAGCATGCATCACTCACGCATCCCAAGGCAGGGCTGCGGCCACCTTCTTGCTGCATTTATTTTATTAATTAATTAGAAAGTCTGTAATAATTTATTCGCTTATCATTTGGACTGTAATATTTATTTGGTCTCTCCGAGCGAGGGCAAATCTGTAATAAGTGTGGGTGAGTGTGTGTATGTCTTCCAACCCCCACTTCTTTCTCCCTTTTATTTACCTGCCACTATTACACCTTATTCCGAGATTGAGGAACTTGGGGGGTTGTTTCTTGAGTTTTTGGACTGGTTTTGATCAAAAGAAGAGGGCTAGACCAT